ATAAAGAAATACAGTGCAACATGATTTTGTTTCTCTTCAAAATGTCGGATTAACTAAACATAAGGTTGGGGTTCCAATTGTAGCGGATTACGGCTATTCGCTGTGACCTGCTTCGTGGCCAAACTAGACAGAATATGCGCGCGGGCTTACGTCAGTATCTACGCAAATTTATTTATTTATTACACTTCAAGTAATATTTACATTGGCGGACTTAATATCTAAGGCATTATTGATCAGTCAATAGCCACAGCCCACTGAGCTTCTCGTCGGATCTTCTCAGTGGGTCGCGTTTCCGATCCGGTGGTAGATTCTGCGAAGCACTGCTCTTTCTATGGCTAGTTAGCAACACTCCCGGTTCGAACCCCGTGAGCTCACCTACACGTCAAGGAGAAGCTGAAATAGCCTCTCAAGGCTATCAGCATAGGTAGGGCAAAAAAGGTGAGCGCATTGAAATGAAAAATTAAATTTGTAAAATTATAAGTCCGATCTTATTTGAATCTGATAACTGAATCTTATCATATCTTGCTATATCGTGTCGAACATCAGCCGTCTTATTCTATGACCAGACGAAAGATCGTTTCTTATGTTCCTTCAATAAATTGGATGACAAGTTTTTCCTTCATACATAATTAATGTACGTATTATATAAGGCGCGACACGTGCGAACGCGTGGGACGACGCGCCTCAAATGACAACATTGACTGCATCACCGCGTCGCACTTTCACTGTGTTATAGAATAGCTGCTTATATGTAGAAGGCTCATTACACTTGAATTAGATAAACGATATTGATGCCAGATCTGAAAAATCCGATTTCCTTTTGATCTTGACAATTAGTACTATTTAAAATAAACTGAATTTAATAATATTCAAGGTTTATTTTCTTTGTATACTGTAACATGTAAACAGAGCTTACTTTGCTTGTTCCGCTGTATTCAAACGATTTACGAGTCAGGTTGAAGTGACGTCGGCGATGGACTTATTACCTTTTAGTTCTATGACTTTATTTAGTGTTTGTCTCAAACGCGCGGCATAGTTACGGGTTAAACTGGCGTATGACTAGACTATGCTCATACTAACCAGTAAATATAATTGTAAACGGTAATTAATTAGGAAAACTTCTTAAAACCAGTTTTTTAAATCTAGAAATAGTGTAGTCATCAACGGTGCTTTTAGGTACCTCAAGCACCGGTCATCGTTCTCGTCGAAGCCGTCGCTTGCGATGAAAGGTTCGGCGTGTAGACTAACCCATAGACAAAGCTCACTGAGTTTCTCGCCGGATGTTCTAAATGGGTCGCGTTTCCGATCAGGTGGTAAATTCTGCGAAGCACTGCTCTTGCTAGAGTTAGTGTTAGCAACGTTATCTGGTTAGAGACCCGAGAGTTCACCTACTCGCTCGGTACGCTGGCATAGTCTCTCAAGGGTACCTACCAGCTTAGATAGAACAAAAAAAAGTGTAGTCACATTTATGACATCAAACTCAATACCAGTATGCCAGATTCCACATTACACAAAAACTCGAATATTTTCAAACGAACCTGCCGCATCTGCGCTGTCTATTCTATGTCGATCATACGTGATGCACAGTAGGCGTGTCATTATTTTTGTGTGACGTGATTACGTCATCACTCGCGCTGGTCTGATGACAGTGACGCGTCGATACAAAAATTATGTGAACTCCGATTTCTCGGGGCCTTCCGCTTATAAAATATACGTTAGAAATTTGCGGAGAGTATAAGCTCATTAGTAGATATCGATGTTAGCTGTGCCCCTAATATTGCAGAGGTCAACGAGAGACGCTAACCATACGCCATCAGGTGGGCCATAGACACGTCTGTCTACAGTGGAAATATAATAAAAAAAAAACACTAAACCTATTCTCATTCGATCCTTGCATTTATGATTTTTGCTAAAAAAAAAACAAAAGGGTTAGATAAAAATAACAATAGATTATCCATAACAATACTAATTTATAACATACTAATATATACTAATCTATGTATTGTACTGTGTATAATATTATAGATGTAAAAGTTTGTGAGTTTGTTGTTTAATGGCGTAAAAATTATTGAATGTATTTGAATGAAATTTCGAACAAAGATACTTTATAAATATCTTATAACCTAGATTAACACATGGGACAATTTTTATCATGGATAAGAATATAATAAATTAATTGGATTTGCTTAAAATTAATTGGCACATATGTTTGAGAGTGAAGGCATCGCTTGAGAATGGCTCGACCGATTTTTTGTTGTGCCGACGCTAAGTTCAAAGTTTTTATCATCATTATCATCATCAGCATCAGCCCACAGTCGTCCACTGCTGGACATAGGCCTCTCCCAATCTACACCACTGAGCCTGGTCTCGGCTTTCCTCATACACCTCTTGCTGGCCACTTTTTAGAGGTCATCGCACCACCTAGCCAGTGGGCGTCCCACGCTACGTCTTCCCTTTCTTGTATAGAATACTTTTTTTTTTCTTCCATGCGATAATTTTTTTATACCTAGCGACAGTCACAGCGGAGCGAAATCTGTTTTGGAATAATTAAAGTATTCCGGCTTTATTCAATATGTATCTCCTCAAGTTATTACTACTTCCTTACCGATCATTTGTCCCTAGTAGATCAATTTCTGATTTTCCTCCATTAAACCTTTCTCGAGGGTTCGTGCTACATACTTAGTACTATTAATATTAGAATAATTAAGTTATTTCGGTTTTATTCAGTATGTTTTTTTTTTATGATTGAAGAATTACTGGTGGCCCGGAGGCCTTTCCAGTTTCACCAGGACAGGTGGGCTATTCAGGACTATTCAGTATGTATCTCCGCAAGTTATTAATACTTCCTTGTCGCTCATTTGTCCCTAGTAGATCAATTTCTGATTTTCCTCCATTAATCCTCTCTCAAGGGCTCGTGCCTTTTAGGCCGCCATTCGTCTTTTTGAACTGTCTATGGAACTGATAGCCCACTGAGTTTCTTGCCGGATCTCTCAGTGGGCTTTTCAGTGAGCACGTTTCCGATCCGGTGGCAGATTCTGCGAAGCAATACTCTTGCTAGGGCTAGTGTTAGAGTCTTAGCAACATCATCAGGTTAGAGCCCCGTGAGCTCAGCTACTCGCCTGATTATGCTGACATAACGTAACTGGATGGAAAGAAGTCGTGCCGAAAAAATTAATGTAAAGAAAATCTGTTAATATGTATCTCTCGAGTGTACGTAAAGATTCTAGCTTTACCCATAGACACCGATCTTTTTTGACACTTAAGATTATAGTGGAATAAACAATTCCCATGCGTACCTTAGAATTGTTACTTTGAAATTTTGAGTATTTGTATGAAAACAATTGTTGATAGAAAAAAAGAAGCATTATTTATACCAAATTTCTTAACGGTTTAATCTATTTATTTATTTTTTATTTATTTATGTACACACAGAAAAGAAGACAAAGTACAGAGTAATAGGAAAATTATGTACAAAGGCACTGCTTATTTCTTTAAGAAATCTCTTCCAGCAGACCTGCGAGAGGATAATCTACTGTACAATTATGTATTTTGATAATAACGACAGCCGATCCTGAGATTACTTGTTTTTCACATTTATATTACGATCTCTCAAAACATCGTGATTCAATTTAGACACAAGGTCGCCCTAAAAATAACCGCTAAAACCTCTTAGTGTCTCAAAACGTAACTCTATTTATAGTTTCTTTATCAACAGCTATTTAAAATATGAACCATAACGCGAACAAGTCGATCTTGTTGTACAAAATTACGCCGCATGAGAAACGCCATGAACTCAAAAGCTGTTCACAACTAGAGGACTCATAAAAAAATCACATAGCACGGGTTCAACGCCCCCGGGTCGGCACCCGAAAGCGGGTAATGCACTCGTGTGCATACTCGACCGGGATAGCCGATAGCGTATACCATTTTATGTTACTTTCTTTTATATTATGATCCCCTGGTACTTCGGATACACGCGGCATTGTTCACATTTCGTGTTTTCATTCTTTAAATTTTTTAAAGAAAAACTATACTTTTCAGTAAAATTACATTAAAATATAACAATTTAAAGTATTTACAATCTATTTTTAACTTTTACTTTACGTGCTTTGATAGTAAGTAATTCTGACATAACCGATTTACATACTTGATTTTTAATATTTCTATTCAAAAATCGAAATACAATGAATTTACTTTCAAAGGAGATCGTGGCTATCTTCCCTACAAAATAGCCCTATCAAGTGCATGTAAAAGATAACCTTAAGCGATCCTATTGACACCAATATCTTGAACAGCATCGGATGTGTAATTCGGCAATATCAAAAATCAAACCATGAATCGCCTCTAAATCATATAAAGATTGCACAAAAACCGAGTGATCTTTAAATCTATGCCAATGTGAATAGATAGGTATTGCCGCTTCGCACGGCATACTTTCTACTAACATTCAACTTTAGACGTCAGATATTAGTGTGAATATGATGTAACTCAGTGGGACATTAGGTCTTTGGGGCTGTTACGTAAACAGATTTTGGAGTTGCATAACCTGTGAAAGTGTGTCAGCAATCTTCCGTGATTATGCAATGGCCGACACTGTTTTCGGACCATGGGTTTTTGAGCTCCGTTAATAGTATGTAGGTCTGTGGCGGCCAGGAATCAATTCGTGTTACGAATCGCGCCAAAACCCCGAAATGTTTATTAGGTAAGAATTTTGCTCACTTCCTACTTACGATGGTTGTGATTTTTGCATCGAATAACAATGAATCGGTCGATTACAAATTCTTTTAGTGATTAAAGTATTGTATATTTTCGGTTACCAAAAAAATCGGGTTCTAATGTTTTAGCTGTTATTGTTTATGGAGTCCTGGTACATGAATTTCTTTTCTCTATTTTGTCAATTTTTTTATTTATTTAGCTGATTGTTAAGGTTGCCATATTGTTTTGTTCCTTGAAGACTCTTCTTGCGTTTCTCTAACGATACCTTTTCTGTTTTGCTTCAGATGGAGTCATACAGCGGAGCCTCATGGACGCCTCCGTGTGATAAAAGTATTAACTAAACTCGATACAAGCGACAAGTTTAGTTAAAGAAATTATAACTATGTGATTTTTACTGTTTACTTTTATTTTATTTTTTACATATACATGGTTAGGTTATACAGCGGATAAGTTTTTTTGTGAATCGAGGCTAAAAAGTTAAGAGAATCATCTTGTTTTTTACTTACTTATCGTTGTATGTGACCAGCGAGTCTTCGGCCTAAAGAAGTGATCTCAAAAGTGTTGGCCGGTGGACGAGTTGCTCTCGCACGATCACTGCCATTGTAAACAAAACCCTGTCTATGACAACGCAGAGTCTGATTTTCACCGCGCATCATATCATTTCATAATAGCCAAAACGATGCTAGTTTAGCTAAATTTTTTCAACAGATCGACCACAATCGTAAATCGTACGTACAGATTTGTTTAGACAACAAAAAATCACGCAATATTTCATAGATCTATTTGTTTCAGTCATGCATTCATGAATATTGAGACTGATATTATATACATAATAATAATGAGCAGTTCAAAGAATGTTTGTACATTGTTGGTCAATGAAAAATGACTGAGATAATAATGAAAAATTTATAAAAAGAAAAAAATATAACTTTTGATATCCTGTTTCCCTCTATTAGATGATAAGAATATTTTATATTGTAAATAGATTAATTTAGTCCTTAATGTAAATTGGTTGTATATAATATTGGATCAGTTATCGAATGTTTTTTTCCTTAGAATAATTGTTTTTTCTTCTTTTTTTCTGGCAAGGGTTAAATAGTTTTCCGTCTTATGATATTAATGTGAATTAATAGGCATATCACTTTAGTATAACAAGTAAGAACACCTATTACTACACTATTTACTAGGTACCAAATGCCAATTACGCATCTGTCCTAAAACTTCATTAGATATTTCTAAATCGACTTTCTTTCCCGTAACTTTATTGTTGATACCTTCTTAACTTTTATTATTATTTAAATTAGTGTATATAATTGTACGTTTAACGCTAAGCGATTGAATTAAAATATTAACTATTAATTATTTTTTTGTTGAAGTCTTAAAATTTTTATTCCTATTAATGTACCTTCGTGTTTTTTTTTTGTTACGTATTTCTTCTATATTGATAAGATTTTTGACGTAAAAGGGACACTTTTGTTTCGATTAGTTAATATTTTGCTACTTAATATAGCGGGTCGCTAGCTACAAGCGCGGGTTGTAGATTTCTTATCACACATTTTATTGTTAAAAGAAAAATGTAGGGCGTCATTTAAACACACAACCAGTTGAGTTATTTTTCTGACGTCCCTTCCGAAACGGGTCCTGAAACATTTAGTTACCAAACTGAATCCTACAAGTCTAATGATTAAGATTTTAAATCTACACACTGACACAAAAATATCTACGAGTATTGCCTGTGTAACGATAATACCTGATCCGGAATAGGTAGTATTTGACAGTTCTGTTATAGAAATGTCACTCTACAATTTTTATTTTTTCAAACTAATTCTGCGGATGGATGGTATTAAATTTTTTTTTTGTGAAGTGTGTAGATTAATTTGATAGGTTCACTCCGTCCTAATACGACCTGTTTGTAATGCATATAAAAAAAATGGAACATGTCATATTTTTGTAACGCCACTCACTACGAGGCGAGCTAACTTTCTGGCCTTATAGAAAGAAAATATTTTTACAATGTAACGTCTGAGGCTCATACCGACATATAAAAATGTTTGTTATTTTATTTGTTATATATTATTATCAATTTATACTCTAATATTGACTATTTTTACGTTTTATTATTTTTGTGTTTTATTTTTTTCTAACTTTTCGTCCACATGGTGCTACAAGATTAAATCTTTCCATTTCTGAGCCAAAGACAGATAGATTGTCCAATTAGAATTTTACAAAAACATAAATATATTCAGAGAACTTTTGAGATAAAATATTTTTGCTAGACAAATGTATATTACAGAATGTAGATAAAACATTTGATACTAAATTATATTAATTCTACTTATTTTCTGTCTCTTTCGCACTTACGAATGTCTCGGATTAAGAAGAGAGACGCATGTACATTCTCAGTTACATAAACAAATGTCTACTTATTTTTTATTTGAAAAAAACCGCATAATCATTATGATTATTGTATAAGAAGGAGGTCTCATGATCTCCGACAATAATTAGTAATAAGTGGAAATTCTATTGATGTTATAGGTGCAATTATATTTAATATATAAATATTTAATGATTTTCTTCTTTTTTATTTACTCCCGCGTCAAAATTTTACTAAAAACTAAAATAATAGTGGTCCGGAGGTTTGATCTTCAAAAAAAAAATTTTTGTTTTTGCATAATGTGTTCAGTAAGTACACTCACTCATGGACGCAGACAAGGAAAGAAAATGTTACAGGCCAAGGTGATTTTTGTAACCGGCAGAGGCTCCGGAACGCTCTACTTTTGGGCGGTGCTTCATAGACAGTTCTTCTATTTGGAGTCAAAGTGAGGAAATGGGCGACTCTTTCGAGTGCAATTTGGAGACCAGACCAGAACCCCACACGATCTGACGGGGGATAATAAGGCGAGAAGACTTCGATCTAATGAAACTTCAGGTTGAACTCTTTCAATTTATGACCCCCGGGTACAATACTTTTCTACCTGGGCTACGGGGGCTACCTGATGATGAGTGGCGACCGATGCTAGTGGACATCAGCAATGCCAGTGAGCACAGCCCGGCCGCTGTCTACGAATTTCTATTGACATGTCAATTATACTGGCGGTAGGACCGCTTGTGAGTCTATTTCTGACGTAAAGCAGTAATACGTTTCGGCTTGAAGGGTGGGGCAGCCGTTGTAACTATACTGAGATCTTAGAATTTATATCTCAAGGTGAGTTGAGCATTTACGTTGTAGATGTCTATGGGCTCCAGTAACCACTTAACACCAGGTGGGCTGTGAGTTCGTCCACCCATCTAAGAAACAAAAAAAAATAGCAGGTAGATGAGTTCGCGGTCCACCTGGTGCTAAGTTTACTGAAGCCTACAGACGAAACAATATATTTAAATTGAATATTTTTGTCTTATTATAGTTAGGTATTCTATTCTTTAGAACGGAATATAATTTGAGGTCACCGTCGACGCCCTAGACACGTTACGGATCCATCAGATCCAATAACCCTTGCATTAGACGCCTTCAGCTCTAACACTAGGAGTAGGCTTAGGGACCCCGGTAACCGTACTCGTCGAACTCGGCAAAGAGTTCGGCGTGCAACCTAACCGATGAAACATCCCGCTGAGTTTCTCGCCGGATCTTCTCAGCGGATTGCGATTCCTATTCGGTAGTAGATTCATTCGCGAAGCAGTAGCCCTTGAGTTGTTAGGTGTCCTTTGGAGGGGCTCGGGCAGCTATTTGCAAATCCCACCCCTCCTGGCTGAGCCTTTGTTCGCCCACTTGCCCTGGTAAAAATGGAGAGACCTCCGGGCCACCAGTAATCCCTCCTTCATAAAAAAAAAAAAAATATTATTTTGGACCGCAGCCCTGAATACTTGTAGGGTTGTACTACATAAATTAAATATTTTCAACGTTTTATTGTCTATACGATCCTGTTAGCTAAATCTATTGTTTGGCGCAAAAATGCTTAGAATGTCGAAAAACGAGTCAAGATATCTAATTTTATAATCAATTTTCAAGCGTTATTAAAAATTATTGGCGAGTTGCAAATTAAATGAAGCGAAATTATAAAGAAACCAATTTCGCTGCCGTTTGCACCTTATGTGTCATTGTCACCTTATTTGCAACATTGACGTCACGGAGACATGTGGAATGCCAATTGGGGTGATCCATGTGGATGGGCAGATGAGTTGAGATGGGAGGCCAAGCCTCAGTGGTTGGTTTCTTCGTTTTCTTCTCAATCGTGTCACTCTTGACAGAGTGGTCGTGATCGTCATGTAGTGTTGGAAGGGGCAGACTTGATGCGTCTCACGATGTCCCGCCATCTCTCCCTGCTCGAGGCCACTCTACTGCACTCATTTAGGGGACCTCCCACTGCAATTTTTAAGTTTCTTTTAGGTGGTTGTAATGGGCGAAATTTCTCAGATGTCTAAATGAGTGAGGTATTTGACTTGCGGTGTATATAAGCCACACTAAGTGGTAATGAAGACCCGTCTATTTCTCAACCGCTCAAGTCTTTTTTTCCTACCTATGCTGATAGCCTTGAGAAACTATCTCAGCTTCACCCTAACGTGTAGGTGAGCTCACGGGGCTCAAACCGGAAGTGTTCCTAATACTGGCTCTAACAAGATCAGTACTTCGCAGAATCTACCACCGGATCAGAAACGCGACTCACTGAGAAAATCGGGCGAGAAACTCAGTAGGCTGTGTCTGTGGGTCAATTTACTTGTCGAGCTCTTCATCGTAAGCGACGGGTTCGGCGAAGACGGTGACCGGTGCTTGAGGTACCTAAAAGCACCGTTAATGGATTGGGAGGATCCGTAACGACGTGGCGCGTCAATGTAAATTACGCTTCATCTTGGAAAGCGCGTCACATCATCAGCCTATAGCAATGCACCTATGGACACAGGCATCTCTGAGCAAGGCACCGAGCACAATCCTCTCCTTCTCTCATCCAGATCCTGGCAGCTGCCCTGCGTAGATTGTCGAAACGTGTATGCTTCAAGGCAAATATGGATAGGATAGTCGTGTCAGATCTTTATGTGCCCTACCAACCCTGGTTACATAATCCTAACCAACGCGGGCTTGAATTTAATTACACGGCATTACTCCTTCACCACAGAACCAATTCGTGAACTTAGATAAAAATTGGGATATGACAGAGATTTGAAACCCAACATTAGAAACATTCTAAAAAAATACACTGGGAACTATTTATTAGACAAATATTCCTCAATCTTTACTTCGCAATTTATTAATTACTGCATTAAAATTTGTATTCCTCAAAAGTGTAAATAAATTTTGTTTTTGTTGCAAATAAAATTGACAAAATGTAAATAACAACAATTTTGGTTCTGAAGAATCATGTTTCTTACGCGAGATGTCGCAATAAATAATCTAACTGCAAGAATATTTTGAATTTTGCTTAAAGGCGCCTTAACTTATCTATTGTCGACAGCGAAGTATTATCAGGAAAATCCCTAGATGCTCTTTTGTAACTAGAAGCCCACGATCATAATCAAAGATGAAATTAAACACTATTGCCTAACAAAGTAGTTGACATTGAAATCTACACGATTATCGAAAGAAAATCATCATTTCTGGTTTAATTTTCCTCAGTAAATTACCATTACAGTACGCCACATGACAAGGAACAAATCATTCAGGAGGCGTCAAAACCCGGAAGACCCGTAGCCTCGTCTGAACTAATAATAAAATCATTAATTATTATCACGAGTAAACAATAGAATTAGAGTTTTATTTCCTTCGCCGCGTGCACGCCATCTTTGACGTGCGCTCATCGATTCAATGTTATTAGTTCTTTATTTTCATGATGTCCTAGTAGATTTTTTCGGGGAAATTAAACAAAAATCAAATTT